TAGGAACGACCTTAGTGTCTCAAAGTCATTTAGCATCTCCACCCCCCACTGGCTGCAGCTTGTTCTTAAAAAGTTTCCTTTGCTGGCGAAGGTCAGAGCTGGGAAGAGTGTGTTTCCACTGCTTCAACTACAGTCTGGCTGCTCTGCCAGGATTCTGCAGAGGCAGCAGGTGGGCCGAGGCAAAGGCCAGGACCAGGACAATACTTGAACATCAGACAACAGAGTGACTGTTTGCAATGTACCTGCTTCGTCTCCCTTTTTCAGGCACAGAAATCTCTCCCCCTGACCTGACCTCATCCTTGGAGTAGCTCTGAGCTTTTGATCAAGTTTTGAAGGTTGGGGGAGGGGGGTCAAACAGAAAGATAGTCAAAGAACAGCCTGCAGAGGAGGATGCACCTCCCAAGTCCACCTTTGTCAGCTGGTGGCAGCCAGCTGTGAGGCAGAGAGGAGCTAAATGCAACTCTTAAAAAGAAAGCACGTTTCAGATGAGTGCTGCACTAAATCTTTGTAACTTTCTTATGTCCTTTCAAGGACTACTCCCCTCCTGCCAATTTATCCCAAATGCATATTTATGAGCCCTCACATGGACACAAAACATTACCGACCTTGTCACCACTGGAGTGGCGTTCCCAAACAGCCGTCATCTGGAGGGAGAAGTGTTCCAGGCTTGGTGGTGTGGTCTGTGTGGTCTCAGGAGAAGGATGCTTGTGACTTTGCCTCAGTAGACACCATGAGCTCTCCCAGCCCAGACTTCCCACGAGCCTTTCCAGCTCCTGGAGTCGTCATTGATGTAGGGTAAAAAATGGACGGAGCCTCCTTTTCATCTGAAAGCAGTGAGCAGCCGGAGAAGGAGGAAATGACAAAGGAGTGTCTGCTCATTTAGTCACTCATTTTATTCATTCATGATATAGATATGTGTGGAATACCTGTTGGGTATCATCTACTGTTTCATCATGGAAGTATCAAATGAAATAAGGTCTGTGCCCACAGACAATAAATCAGTGGTAGCAGAATAGAGTTCCAGGTTTTGAACTTCTTGTGGTGGGAACAAAAAGGAGAGATCTCTAATTCAGAATAGGGCATCAGAGATGGCTTCTCACTTAAGCCCCAGGGTGAGTAGGAGTTAGCTCTAGGAATAAAGGAGTGGAGGGGGCATCTCGGGCAGGACCAGAAGCATTGAACTTGACACTGAGGAACGATGTGACATCAGATGGGCCTGGGTTGCAGGAGACTTGTAGGAGAGTGATTGGGGGTGTGGGGGGAGAGGCCCCATCCTAAGGAGTCTTCTAAGGCTTAAGCCATAAGAGGCTGACTGTCCTCATAGCTGTGGCATGCTCCCCATGTGTTTGAGAGATGATAAGGAGGTAAAGTTTTGTGACTTGGTGACTGTCAGCGTGGGACTATGAAAGTTAGTGATTTAGAAAGGTGGAGAGCAGAGGAGAATCACACATCACACTAAGGTTTCTGTCTTGGGCAAAGGCGTTGGTGGTGGCACTTGTAATTTGAATCATGGAATGAATGAGTTTCCTTTATCATGTGTCATGTGCAGTATTGTCAGTCTTTTCGGCTTGGCTGTCGTGATGCAAAGGCGAAGGTTTTGTTCTGTGCTACTGTAGGAGAGACCAGGTGTCACAGGAATTCTGGAGGAGCTTGGAAGTGAGTCTGTGAGGCCCTGTCTTACACACACACACACACACACACACCACGATTAACTGGAAGTTTACCAGACAGTCTTACACACACACACACACACACACACACACACACACACACACACACACACACACACACCACGATTAATTGGAAGTTTACCAGACAGTGTGAGTGTTAAGAGGGAGGGTAGCATAGCAGATTTGCTGGGTTCAGATCTCCTTGTAAGTTGTGTGGCCTTGGCAGGCCTCCTCTCTTTGCCTCAGTGCTGTCATCTTTAACCTGGGGATGATAATAGAATTTACAGAGGTCAGCGATGAACACTTTTTGCTCTTAAGAGTCAAATAAAAATTGAAATTTTCTACCCCAGAGTTGTTGAGTTTGAGATGCCCATAAAATGTCCAAATGGAGAGGTCTAGGAAGCACAAGAGCTTTGAGAGCACAACAGGCTTCTGTGCAAGAGAGAGACTTATGAGTCACCTGAATACATCCAGTACTTGGAGAAGCCGGCGGTGTTCTCCAGGGCCGGCTTGGAGAGTTGAGGCCTGGGGGACAGAGGACGTGAAGAAGGAAAATCAGGGGCAGGGAGAAAGGGGGTCACGCACGATAACTTCAAGGAGTGAAGAATAATCAAGGATTAAATATGGCAGAGAAGCCAGTGAGCATGCCTTTGGGAATTGGTGGTACAGAAGCCATCCTGGGGCTGTCGTCAGAGCTGCTTCAGGCAGGTGGCAGGGAGGGAGCCCTGTGGAAGGTTGAGGACGTAGGGATTTTATACAGAGAGTGCTTTTAAGAAGCTGAAAACACAGTAACAAGGCCTTTTGCTCTTCCATCGGCTCTGCTATCTTCATCCGAGAAGATGGAGAGCATTAGGTCTCGTGGAGCTGTTGGAGCTGATGCTGTGATTAATAAAAACCCGATCAGTCCATCACTCCCTTGAACCTCTTAGATATGCCCTGGGCCCCACCCCCAACCCACAACAAATAACTGAATCAGTAGTGTTGGTTTCTGTACCATTGTGCATACACGAACACCAGTTTCTAAACAAGACAAACTTGGGTTCAAACCAACATTTCAGTGTCGGGATGATGATATGCAGGGTTTCAAAACATGAACTCGCAGGCCAAACAGGAAATTAACATTAGCTATATGACTGACTTGATGAGAAAAAAGAGAAAAGAACCATGTTGGCCGAACTGAGCTGTAGCTAATCATGAGCCACTCCTTTGCATGTGGGCCCTGCCAAGCACCACCCCTGACCTTTAAAGAGAATCACAAACCTATTGACTTCCCAATGACTATTTTCATTTCAGGAGACAGGAATTTTTCAGGCATATCAAATGTGTTGCATTTTTATTTTATTCTGTTTGCCTAGTTTTGCTAGGTTCAGACCTAAAATTAGTATCTTATTACAGCTTAAGGTTTCAATATAGATTAATGACACCTAAAATGAAGATTTCTACATTGAAATCAAAAGCAGTTTTGGTTTAGCGAGTTTTAGGCACAGCCAGTTTTCACTCTGAAGTGTTATGGTATATTCTAATGTAACATTTATAAATCTGGCAGGTG